GAAATGCAGAGAGAGAGGGAGAGGGAGAGGGAGACAGAAAGAGAGAGAGCGAACGGAGAAAGAGAGAGAGTGACAGAGAGAGGACGGAAAGAGCGAGACAGACAGAGAGAGAAACGAAAAGTTTATAATGCTCTATCTCTTGTAGTCACTCTGTTTAGCCCTTTTTAAATTCCGCTCGGTCACATTCTCCTTTTTTTTTTTTTTTTTTTTTTTTTTTTTTTTGTCATGTATTCAAACTTTCTCATCTCACCTCACCTTTCTTTCACCCTTACCATTGCTTCTATTCTTATTCCCACTATCTGTCTACCATGGGCATTATCCTCTCTGAATCGCTGTTGTTGTCCGTAAAGCAATTTCGGTGCGAAAAATTGAGCGAATCTGAGACTTGGTTAATTTTCGGTTAAGCTGACCAGTGTATATTGAAGACTAATCTCTTTTTCAGTATTTAAAGAATGTATTTGATTATAATGATTAAATTGGGGATAGAAATATCGATACTTTCGACATTACCTTGATATCAAAATATCGATACAACTCGTGTGTTATCGAGTGTTTAGAGTATTTCATTTAGATAATCATATTTGAGAGATCTATTTATTACCTCGCACTTTCCCATTAAATTTAGTCATTTTATACGTCTAGCTTCACATTACAGTTTTGCGTGGATCAAACTTCACATGAAGAACTACTGTTAGTTTAAGAGGCATAGTAAGTTCACCTACATATAATATAATGTTTGATTAAATTTGGCAAGTACAATTATTAAGCTAAAAACTTAGATGCCTCTTTGTTTTGTTTCATATTCAGTTCACGAAAGAATGCCGATATAACATCAAAAACACATTCATTTCTGAAAGCGAATGAGTGGCGGGATGCAACCAGTGCTTATCAGTAAGGATCAACTGAATGGATTTTAACTTTGAGGGAGGAAAATGTTCTCAAAAGAGATCTTGAAAGTGGAGGATTACATCACAGATGCCTTCTCTAATAAGTTCCCAGGTTACTCTTTTATTCATTCTATCTTAGTAACCGATTCAAAGAAGTGACTCACAACAAAGTATCTATATTACCGCTAAGGGAACAGCGACAAATGTATTATTGATATAGTGTGTCCAGGAATATTGCACAAGTACTGAGTCAACTCAACTAAATGAGTAAAATGTTGAATGTTGCCTTCTATTACCTGTGATAACTAATAGTCTCCCCAAAATATATATACTTTTACTGATGACCTAAACCGATTTCATGCTACGAGAAATGAAATTGTATTGAATGTAATAGTGAAGTGTTTCGTTCGCCCGTGAAAAGTATAAAAAGATTGCTATGTTTGATTGTGATAGATAGAAAGGCAGACAGACAGATAGATAGAGAGATAGAAAGAGAAAGATAGAACTGCAAAATATTAACCGAGATTTCCAGGACATGTCTGAGAGGGCCAGAAGTACTGCCGGCAGACCGACAAATGACAGACGTTAGCCAAGTGCCTTGCCTCCTGAATGACAAAGGAATATTCTTTCTTCTCGACATCCTTGGCAGTCCTGACACAAGACATGTGGCATTTAGATCATTTGCGTCTGGATGAGACACTGTACAGAGAGTAGGAAGGAGCGTCCATAGCAGAAATTCAATGACAAACACTCTATGGAAAATAATTACTGCTATTTTGAGAGGCGTGGTATGTCCACCTATGGATGACATAAAGTTTGATTAACTTTGGCCAGTACAATTATTAAATAACAGACATGAATCCCCATTTGTTTTGCTTCATATCCAATCCAAGAGTGTCGGCATAACATAAAAAAGCACATTAATTTCAGAGGAAATGAGAGGTGGGTGGGAAGATGAAACCAGTGCTTTAGGGAATGCAAGACCACATATTGTGAGGGAATTGCAAGACCACATATTATGAGAAACTGCTGAATGGTTTTCACCTTGAGGAAGGAAAACAATCTCAAAAGCTAACCTCATAGGTGCCTCCTCTTGTAATTTTGAGTAATTAAGTTACTCTTTTATTCTGTCTATCCTAGTAATTAATTCAAAGACCCGACTGACAAAAAAAGTACTTATAAGTGACGAGCGTGTGATGAAACAGGTGTGTCCCAAAATACGACACTCATGTACTGAGTCCGAAAATGTTTGCATAGTCGGGCATTCTAACACTGTGTCACCGTGGCCGACAGGGAGCCGAGAAGAAACAAAATACTCTTTTATCTTCACTGAACCTGATGTTTCGTTGTGAGCAATGTATAGGGTAAATCACCCGAACCGATACTGGGCACTATAGTACTCGACATAAATACACAAATTTTCGATATTAGAGCTGAAAAATTCAATATCATATCGAAAATACAACTGATATTACTCGAATATACTAATCAGATTAATGGGAAATTCATTTCTAAAATTTAGGCTTTGAATCAGCATCTGCACACGCAGTCTCGCCTTAGAATTATATTTATCATTACTGATGACCCATGCTATTAGAAATCAAATTTAGGAA